GAATTACATCAGACTTTTAAGTCCCATCTGCCCTGACAACTAAAGGTCACCTTGACCCATGCTTTCCAGGTCTAATCATATTCTTAACCATAAATCCTTACAGATTTTATAGTTAGAAGGAATTATCCTTATCCCCCTGAGCTTCAGGATGTGGTCTATGAAAAGTTCACAAAAGTCTCCCACTTCAGGGTAACTTGGGTTCCTCTTATGGACATTATTTGGGGCCTGGATTTCTCCTGCAGATAGCAGGTGTTTATTGAGGAATGTGATATATCCCATCCACCTAGGCCAGGCAGAGCTGATGGAAAATTGCTTTTTTGTGCTTCTTGAAAAAGAAAGCATGTGGGGGTCAGCACAGCAGGCCCATTTTATAGAATTATTCCCTTAACTTCATGTTTCACCACTGGCATCTGTCTGTCCCCTATCAGTAATGGTAAATAAATGAGATAGATAGATAGTAAAAATAGCGGCAGGCAGTTAGGGGCAATGGCCCCCCCCAAATGGCTTCTCTAAATGTAAAGACCCTTCCATGAAATTAACCTGTAGAAAAATTCCAAACATTCTATTCAACTCCTTTATCCCAGAACAGCAGGAAAAGGAAAGTGGAATAGACCTGAGTGATGACTACAGACTCAAGGGCTAAAAGGGCCCAACCAATCAGAAGGTCATGGACCAATAACCTTAACACTTTTCTAATGCCTGTTTGGAGGAGATAGTGATCAATGACCCTACCTGGTAGCTATATTAACCACTAGTCCAGCAACCTGCTCTCATGTTCCCCTTGCCCCATGAGAGTTATGTTTCTTTTCTTCCCACTTGAATAAATTCTACTCTTTCATTCCCACCCTCCATTGTTTCATTTGTTGGATTTCATGAAGACAAAAACCTGGAAAGAAGTCACCAGCATCTGGGCACAGTGGCGCATGCCTGTAAACCCAGCAACTCAGGAGGCTGAGGCAGGAGAATCACAAGTTCAAATCCAGCCTTGGCAACTTAGTGAGGCCCTAAGTAATTTAGTGATACCCTGTGTCAAAATAAAAAAAATAAATAAGAGTTGGGGACTTAACTCAGTGGTAAGGTGCCCCCTAGGTTCAATCCCCAGTACCAAAAAAAAAAAAAAAGAAAAAAAGAAAAAGAAAAAAAAACAAAACATCGCTACCACCAACAAAAAAGGCATTGGCAAGCGACTGGGGTCTTCTTGAAACACTAGAGCACTATAAACATAGACCTTGATCAATACCTGCTGAAGAATCTGGTCCTGCCAGCTGAGGCCAGAGGCACTCCCTGAAGTTGCTGCAGAGGGTCCACTACAGGAGCAAAAGCTGAGAGTCCAGTTTCAATGGCATCCCCCAGCTGCCATATGAGTATCTCAGTCTTCAGAGTCCTGAAGAGGAGAGAAATCCCTCCCAGAATTTTCCTGTGGCTTTGTAGCATCTTTGTGGCATCTCCTGAGCTGTTGGGCTTTGGGGGGATTCTTGGCCGGCCCATTTCTTTGGCAACTGACAGCTCAAAGGGGTGAAGCACAGGGCTGAAGCAGATCTTGGCCCATCTCCTCCACTTTGACCCAAGCCATGAGGTAATCTCACCAAGACCCTGACCTGGCCCCTAACAGCCCAGATTAACTGCCACCTACTGTAGATTGTTAGTAACTGCTTCAATTTGTGACCTGCCTGCCAAGAGGTGAGCCGGGGCTTTCATCATTCCATTTAATCTTTCTAACAAAAATCCTGTGTAGGGCTGGGGAGGGATATGGTTCAGTGGTACAGTGCTTTCCTAGCATGCATGAGGCCCTGGGTTCAAGCCTAGCAACACACACACACACACACACACACACACAGCCTATGTAATAGATGAAGAAACTGAAGCTTGCAGTCACATAGGTGCAGTCAAACCCAGTACAGTTGCCTCTTGGTATCTGAGTAGGACTGGCTCCAGAAGAACAAATTCTATTTGCAAATCCTTCTGTAGACTTTAAGTCATTTCTAGATTACTTATAATACCTAATACAATCTAAATGCTATGTAAACAGTTGTTATACTATATTGTTTAAGGAAAAAAGAAGTCTGTATATGTCTAGTACAGATGCAATTTTTCCCCCAAATGTTTTCTGTCTAGATGGTTGAATCTAGATGCAGAACCTGTGGTTACAGAGGGCCGACAGCACCTGATACATTCTCCCACGTGAACAACCAGTTTTGTGGGGCAGGGGATGTCACCCAGACCCTTCCCTGTCCCTACTATCAAATTTTCTGCCTTTTAGGCTTTAGTTAAAGCAGGAAGTTTCCTCTGGCAGGAACAGGCAGGAAGTCACCAATACCAATATCAGGGACTATGCTCATGGTGGTGACAATGATATCCACCCTGGGCATTGGGTATTTGCTCTAACTTTCTGCTGGTGGCTCAGGGCACAGACTTGCAGCACACGCAGCTGCAGGCCCAGGGTTTGAGGAGCCCTCTGTGCCTACCAGGGTTTTCCAATAAAGAAATGCCCACTCAAGACTTTAGCTTTATTCTCCTGAGGCATGGCTGGGGGAAATGTGTCCCCCAGCAGAGGGGCCTCCTGTGAGGTAACAAGCCTGAGCATAGCAGGGCCTGTGCCTGTCTTCTGGACTTAGGTAGGGGCAGTGGGGTGGTGTGAACTGTCTTCCACATCTGTGGCTGTCTCCAGGAGGCTAGGATCAGGAACTTCCTCTGTCCATTAATGCTTGATGAAGAGCCCAGCAGCCCCTAGTACAGAAATTACCTTTTGAAAATGGCTAAGTTAGGGTTGGGGTTATGGCTCAGAGGTATAGCGCTAGCATGCATGAGGCCCTGGGTTCAATCCTCAGCACCACATTTAAGTAAATAAACAAAATAAAGGTATTGTGTCCATCTAAAACTAAAACTATACATTAAAAAAAGGAAAATGGCTGAATTAGGCCCATTTGAGATTTACTTGCTTATTAGCTAGTGAGTGGTGTGTGGGACAGGTTGATTGGGGCCAGAGCCAATTGTTAACTTTTCAGGAATTTTTTGAGCTGGTTATCAAACCAGTCTTTATTAAAAATTAACCAATATTTTTTCTAAAAAATCTTGACCTAGATTTTAAGTACATTATTTCTCAAAATATGTACTCAAAACGTATTGCTTCCTAATTATTTTGCTACACTTACTATCATCCAAGCTCCGAGGTTATTTATAGCCAGAGTTGTCACCCCTTACCTGCTGTTACCCTGTGTTTCAGTTACCTTCAGTCAGCTGTGCCTTGAAAATACTAAATAGGAAATTTCAGGAATAAATAGTTTCATGTTTCCCATAACTTTTATTATATTGTTAATAATTATTCTAGTTGTTATTATAGTTAATGTTTTAAATTTCTTTCTTTTTTTTTTTAAGTGTCAGGGATTGAACCCAGGAGTACTTAACCACTGAGCCATATCCCCAGCCCTTTTTGTTTATTTTGAGACAGGGTCTCTCTAAGTTGCTTAGGGCCTTGCTAAGTTACTGAGGCTGGTTTTGAGCTCATGATACTTCTGCCTCAGCCTCCCCAGTCGCTGGATTACAGATGTGCACCACTGTGCCTGACAATGTTGTTAATTTCTTACTGTGCCTAATTTATAAATTAAACTTGATCATGGGTATGTGTATATATAGGGGGAAAACACATTACATAGAGGGTGTAGCACCATCTATGATTTGAAGCATCCTTGAAATGTATCCCCTTGGATAAGGGAGCACTACTACATTCTGTTTACTAGAAATAACAAAATTATATTGTGCTACTGTGTACTGCTTCCCAACTCTGTGTTCAGTGTTTTCATGTGGGCAGTTGAAAGAGAAGATAATGGGAGCATTTACACTGTGGAAATTGATAAGTTAGGATCCCTCTGCCCTGGAGAAGTCAGTGGTTAAACATAATCATCCACTGGCCTTTCTGCCAGCCCAGGAGGTAGGGAGATACAACACCATCCCTTTCCAGACCCAAATTCATAGGATCAGAGAAGGGAAGTGACCTGGCAGAGGCTTCACAGCATACAAGGTCACAGATAAGACCCAGACCTGATCTGTTCTTCTCTCCCCCAAAGCAGCCAGGTAGGGAGATGGAAAGTCACCTGTCTGGAGCACTCCTGATTTTCTTCCCACCTCTCTGGCGGCTACTCCTGCCCTCAACTCTTAGATTCAGACCCTCCTCTCTCTTGCCTGGCTGCTTCCACTCATTCCTGTAGCTTTTGTCCCCAATATTCTGCCACTACATCTTATTTACCCTCCAGACTTGGGTGAGAACAGCAGCCACTACCTGCCCCTTCTTATGGTTTGAGCATGTCACCCCAAAATTTATCTGTTAGAAACTTAACTTCTCCACATGGCAGTGTTGGACTAGGTGTGGCCTAATGGGAGGTGTTTTAGGTGGAGCCTTCCTGATGGATTCATGCCTTTCTGTAGAATGGGTTAACTATTGCAGGAGTTCAGACCCTTTCTCCTGCTTATGCACATACCCAGCTGCCTTCTGCTTTCTGCCATGAACTGAAGCAGAAGCTGAAAAGATGCCAGTGCCATGTTCTTGGACTTCCCAGTCTCCAGAACTGTGAGCCCAAATAAACCTCTATTCTTAATAAATTACCTGATCTCAGGTATTTTGTGATAGCAACAGTAAACAGGACACCCCTCTCCAAGCTTTTCTAACATCTTCAATTGTCCAGCAGAGTTCAGACTCCTTGCCATGGGCCTTTGTGTGATCTGGATGATACCCTATTGCCCATCCCATAACACCTTTCTTATATCCCCACCCAAATCTTCATTTCAGCCAGTCAGTCCTTTTTGGTTCCTTAGATTTGGAGTTTCGCTTGACTGATTACACTGATTCTTCCTTAGGATGTTCCCTCTCTTCTTTCTCCCACCCCTTCCTTCATGACCAGGAAGCCCTCTTCAGATTACAGCCCACTCTTCCCTTAGTTTACGTCTACCAGGAGAAGCCCTGATTCTACTTCCACATCCCTGCTCCTCCCCAACAGAAGAAAAACTCAATTCTTGAGGATTTATTGGGTTTGGATGTGGGCCTGGCCAGCTTTCCAGCCAGATCCTAGCAGCCCCTGTATCAGAGAAAGGCTTTCCTGAGGTATCTCGGATGCTCCATTCCTGTTTCTCATGAGTGTCTGTTGTCCAGCCATGATGCCATGGAGTGACGCAGCTAGGCGGCAGAGAATCCTATGCCCAGCTTGCCTTGCCCTCTTTGGGCTTCAGTCTCCTTATCTTCCATTTTCCTGTCAAAAGATAGAGCTGGGCCCACCCAGGGTCCCCTCCTGCTCAGTACAACAGATTCCATGGAAGCAAATGGGGTTTAGGTCCCACCTCTCTTTGGGACGCACTGCAGTCACTGCTCCTTGAGGCCTTTGTCTCTAAGCTTCCGTCCAGCTCAAACCTACTCAGTGTCAGGGCCATGGACCCTGGGGAACCAGGTGTCCACATCCCTAGCAGGAGTGGGCTGACCCACAGGCCAGGCACTGGGGTGGGGTCAGGAGGAGCTGGGCTTCCCCACTGATGGGTAGAGCTTGCGCAGGCTGGAGTCCAGGAGGAAGTCCACTGACCTGTAAGAAGGGTGAGGTTGGTGAGCAGGTGGCCAAGGTGTGAGGGAACAGGAGGCAGGAGGCTAGGGTGAGGGGAAGGGACTGCTAGACACAGGACACAAATGATATCCAGGTGGAAACCTACCTTATCTTGCCCCTCACACCTTGGGCTATTTGAACCCCCAGCATAATACCCATTTTCCTTTTCTATATTCATCTGGGGAAAATGAGGCACCGAGAAGGTAAAGAACTTACTTCAGGCCTTAAGGTCTGTTATGTTCCCCCAGGAAAAGACTCCTTATCCCATTCTACATTCGGATTAATACCCATCTATAGTTCTAAGAGCAGTCACATGATCTAAGCCCAGCCAATCAGAAAAAGGCTGGCTTAGAGGTTGACATTCAGTCTGGATGGACCAATGACAGCCTTTGTTAGGATTTTTGTTATTACTATTCAAAAACTTCTGATGGGGCTTGGTAAACTGCCTGATGGAAACTGGGAGCTGCTTGGGGCCATCTCTATTCCCATGAGCAAAGCCACTAAGGTGCAGGATGGGGCAGAGAGAAGGAAAACAGACTAAGCTTCAGAGATCCAGATTCCTAATGACATCATGTGGATGCCTAGATCCAGCCATGCCTGAAAGCCAAACAAGCCTGGGCTGTTTTCCTCACTTAACTTACATAGTATGAGTCTGGCTTCTGTCACCAATAACTTCCCAAACCCACCATTCCAAGTACGCCCACTCTGCCTGCCACTGGTTGTTTTGTAACAAACACTACATTTTCTTCCTGGGAATTACTTGTCCTGTGTCCCATACCCTCAAGACACCCAGGGTCCACTCCTGCTCAGTACAACAGATTCTATAGAAGTAGATGGGGTTTAGGTCCCAATTCCCTTTGGGAGTCACTGCAGTCACTGCTCCTTGAGGCCTTTGTCTCTACGCTTCTGTCCATGGTAACATAAGAGTACCTGCCAGATCATATGAAAAGGGTACAAATTGTCCTTTCCATTTCAGGAGCCCTAAGTGCCAACCCTACCTCTGCTGCCATTGTTCTGTGTCCCATACCTCTCAGAGCCTAATTCTACCTACACAGGAGATGATCCCTGAGGTCAAGAGAGCACCCACCTGTCAATGGGGTGGATGATGAAGGGGATGGTCAGCAGCCCAACTGCAGTAGTGGTCCACTTGCGGACAGTCAGGGGCCAGCGGGTGGCAGTGCCCAGGACATAGAGAGAGGCAGCACACACGCGGTTGATAGTGAAGCCTGGGATGGCCACAGAAGCCAGAGCCTGCCACACAAAGGTGTCTACCACAGCCACAGTCACCCTCGTGCTGCAGCCTGCTTCAAGACCCTGCACCTGGTGGGCAGAGAGAAACTTAATCCAGCTGGGGTAGAGGCAAAAAAATTCTGTTAGACAAGGAGCATGAGCCTGGACCAAGGAGGGGAAGTGACCAGTCGGGGGGAGGCATCAGGGCAAAGGAACTGCTCTAGTTTTAGATTCTGGCCTATATACCACAGTCAGAACTAAGGATGGCCTTGTCCACATCCAAGAGTCGAGTATAGACTGCCACCTCCAGGTATGGGAGTGAGGTGCACTTTCCTACAAACAGGACTGGAGTACGGACTTTATCACTTGTAAAGCAGTAGACTGAGCCACACCCACACCTGGAGTGCACTGGGGTGGGGGTTGAGAAGGAAAGCTAACACTCACCTCTCCGGCCTTCTTGCCTTTGTCAATGGCATCCGCCAGCACATAGGAGCTGGATACACCATAGCTCAGCCACACCACAGCCTTTGGCACCAGGGAGCGGAAAGCTTCCCCCACCTCATTCGCATAACCTGGAGGGAGGGGACATTTAATTCTCAAACCCGTGGACTGTTCCACCAGGGGGCGCTGGAAAGAACTGGTTCTAATCCTATTCTGCAGCAGGGTGACCTTAGGCAATGACTACCTGTATAAACCTCTGTTTCCCAGTTCAACTCCAGGGCCCACTGATGGGAAGATTGGGCAGAGCCACAATTATCGTGGCTCACTGATTAGATTTCCTAGCCTTGGTTCTGAAAGCGGGCACTAATGAGGTGACAGACAGCCAAAGACTGATCAAGAGCAACCCCAATGACCAGATACTCACCCTGTGCCAGGCCTTTCTGGGCTTTATCTCATTCCACCCTTACATCCACCACCCAATGAGAGAGGCCCTCATGTTGAGCCATTTTTGTCAAGGAGGAAATTGAGGCTAACATAGAACCAACTGAGTGGCAGGGCCGAGATGGGAGTACAGATGTCCTGACTCCACAGCTAGGGCTCCAGGATGCCAAAGAGGGCAACCCACTCATCCGGCTGGAGTTTTCTTTCTGGAGGGCTGACCAGCAGAGACCCCCAGGGCAGAGCTGAACCCATCAGTGTCGTGTGACCTTGGGCAAGTCCCTAGCCCAGGAAGAATGAGAACTAAAATACTCTCCCGTCTCCTCCAGGCCCCAGAATGGCACCTGGGAATCCCTGCTCCCCTGCCATGCGGTAGGGTCGCAACGTCAATCACTCCGCGCTCACCTAGGTATCGAACCCACGTGTCCCGGTAGAGGTCACGCTCTGCGCTCAGCCGCTGCGGCTCCGACATGACGATCCGCCGCGGCTCGGGCCACTGCTATTGGCACTGCCTATGCTTCCGCCTCCACCTATACAGACACTCGGGTCTCCCACTTCAGGACCAGCCGAAGGTCCTAGGCTGAAGGACGGTTTGGGCAGTCTCCGCCGGCAGGGAGCGTCTGCAAATTGCCCCGCATACCCAAGCCCCTCTCAGAGACTCCCATTTTGCAGATGGATTGCTTTTTCTCTGGGCAATTAGCAAAAACCTCTCCCAGGACTGACTGTAGCTTTTGGAGCCAAAGAACCTGAGGTTCTGAAAGGGAGATTGAACACATAGCTGTGTGACCCTGGGCAAGAGTCTACTTCTCTGAGCCTTACTTATTTATAAAATATTTGTAAAATATTATAAAATATTTGTAAAATAGGGGGAACGTTAGCATCCACTCCCTAGGATGGTTGCGGGGATTAATTATAACCATTGTTTTTATTTTTTAAAAAATATTTTTAGTTGTAGATAGACACAATGCTTTATTTTATTTAGTTTTATGTGATGCTGGGGATCTAACCCAGGGCCTCACACATGCTAGGCAAGTGCTCTAACACTGAGCTACAACCCCAGCACCCCCACTGAGCTACAACCCCAGCACCCCCTTACTACCAGCTGGGACGTTCGCTAAGGATTCTAAACAGCTTAGTTCCTTAAGCCCTCCCACCAACTATGATCCTCTTTTACAGAAGAGGAAATAGAGTCACAAAGAAGGTGGGTCACTTTCCTGGGACACACAGCTGCCAAGTAGTGAAGCTGGGATTTAAATCTAGACAGTGTGGCTTCAGATCCCATGCTCTTAAGGAGAGCTCAGTAAAGGAGGTTTGGGAAGGAAGTGAATGGCGAGTGGCCTAGAGGGTGGATGCCCGATTCTGCAGTCCCTCTCAGGAGGTGCCAGGTTTATCTATCAAGCACTAACTGGATCATTATGCACCCAGACTGAACCTTTTGGGGGGCAGGACGTTGAATGAATGCACGATTGAGACAAGGGAAACAAGGATGGGGGTACAAAACTTCAGGGAAATGAGAACAGGAGAGAACTTAGGGGCTAGTGATTACAACAGGGGGAACCCCTACTGAATTTGTTTACCATGTGAGCAAGGAGTGCACTTTACTAAAAATCTGTGAATCCTCGGGGCAAGCACAAGGCCATTAGGAACAAGCCGTCCTGGGTCAAAATCTCAATTGTTCCGTCTATCACACATTAGCCTCCCCGAGCCCCAGTTCCCATAACTATAAAAAATGAGAGTAACCAATACTTACGGAGCGCTCACTTGTACCGGGCTCTTTTCTAAGAGCTTTGCATTTGCTTAGCCCTTAAATCTTTGCAACAATTCAAGTCAGTAAGCACGAGAATTTTGGCGTGGTGCCTAGATGTTCATTAATAGTCATCTTTTATCATCAAATAAATACTGGGAAAATTAATATCAACTCGTTATGAAGGCCGCCGTTTTCAGCCCTAGGCGTCTGCATCCTTGTAAGTTAGTGTGAGGCAGTCAGTCAGCGGTTACATCTCGGGAACTTGGTTCGAGGCTATGGGTGGGGACAGAAATGTCTCCAGTCCCTGAATCACCGACAGTGCGGGTGCGGGTGCGGAGTTAGGAGACGGTCCCTAATACCACGTGATCACCCCTGCTCCACCTCCCTACCACTTTGGGTCCCTCGCAGGCGCAGCGAGCGCTGCTGGGACTGGCACTTGTCTAAGCTCACGTACACCGGGCGCTTTTGACGCCACCCAAAGGGGCCGGGCCTCTGCCCTCAACCGTGAAATCGACCCTAGCACCCTAAGGCCCTGAGTAAAGATGGCAGATGACAGCCCATTGGAAGAACCAATCAGGAGGCAAGTTGTTAGTCGAACCGCCCATAAAAGCTCTGGCGAGCGTACAGTCGCAGTGAGTTTCTGCGCCTGCGGCTCAAGGGTGGGACGTAGTTCCTAAGTGACATTCGGGTCTCAAAATAAGGGCAGCGAGGAATCGAGCGGTAGGCATTGAATTCCACTCTCTGTGCACTCAATGATGCTTTTATTCACCTATGAATCTTCCTAAAATAGCTTTGTAAACCAAGACCAGGATGTTCTCCTGAGCGATCTGACCTTCGCCTGTGCAGCCTCAGCCCCCTCTGGTCAGCGCTAACCCTGCCCCTGCCCCGAGCTCCCCAGGTTGGACCAGGGCTCGGGTTCACGGGAGAAGAGGTCCCGTAAGGGCCTGGGTCTGCCTTCCCCAGTTCTGAGTAACCCGGGATCTGGCGTTTTTTCGCAGGACGTGTCAGTTGAATTGCTGTGGTTTCGTGGCAGTCCCCAGTCCCTGGTTTTGCGAGATGCTGGCCAGGCCTTTGGCGACCTGCCCGGACAAACTCTCCCTGGCTACCTACATCCACAGGCACGAGGAACCCACTTTGCACCCGTTACACGCCTCCCACAGAGATGGGACTATCAAGACCTTGTTCAGGTCAGTCAGCCAGTTGGCAGGCACTGTGGGTGACTCAGACCAAAAAATGCTCTGAGTGCTACTGTATTCATATCATTTGTCAGAGGGTTACTTGGTGAACTCAAAAAAGTGAATGGAAGGCCCCCCTTTTAGGACTCAATCCTAATCCAAGCCTCCTTGGTCCTTCCACCAGCTGTGATCCCTAGAGGTAATTGCCCTTGTGCTTTGTTTACCTTGGAGAACAGTGGCTGGGTACCAAGTCCCAGGAAGCTCTGAGTCACTGACAATCATTAGTAATTAAAGTGACATCCAGTGGGGCCCAGGAGTTGCTGGGGTTTTTAAAGTGAAAGACCTGCCTATCAACCTTCTATGTTGACTTGAGCCACTCCTGAGATTGGGATAAGCCAAAAGATACCCCAGCCTCAGTGATTTAAAAAAAAAAAAAAATTGGAAGGGAGTCTGTAGCAACCAGCCACCTTGCTGTCCCTCGTTATGATCTGAAGGTCCATGTTCATTTGGGAGCAAGTTCCTCCCCTACAATTGCTTCCCTGAAATGTTAGGTCCCCCCGCTTTTCTAATTTCTTCCCTGCTGCCATCCCCATGGTAACCTCTCTCCGTCTTAGCTGTCACTGAGCAGGTGAAGTTGGCAAGGCTTACAGAACAGATCCTATTGTGATGGTCATCCCCTGTGGACTCCTTAGTGATTTGAGAGACAAGGAGACCCACTCTAGCTACTTGCCCTCTTCCTGATTCTAAAATGAAAGCTCCCAGATCCAGCCTGAAATCTTCCCTTCAGCCCAGTTTCTTTGAGCTGCAGGGTCTCAGGGAAATGACTGCTACAAGGAAACCAACAGGGAGACACTGAGGGGGCCAGGCCTGCTGTAGGAGGAGGCATTATTTGGGGGTGACTGTCCCCAGCTGATTCATCTTCTCTTCTGAGGCTTTGTCTGGAAGCAGGACCTCCACAGTGAAACTGACCTTCTTGGCATGAATGAAGCTGTAGGTGTTGTCAAACCGCAGGACATCTGAGGGGAGGCAGAAAAACAGACATTCAGGTGATTTTAATAGAAAGCTCAGGAACAATGATTGATATATATTTAATTGACTGAGCAATGCAGTGTGATAGGTAATGGGGATGAAGGGAGTATGCGCAATAGTCTTTGACCTTCTTAAAGTTAGTCTAGCTGAGTTGACAAGACTTTGTGGAGTGTAAAGCATGCTAAGTGCCGGATGAGTAACAAAGACAATCACATCTATAACATCTGGGAAGAAGAGGGCCCTGTACAACATAACCATGTCTTTTAAGACAAGGTAGAGCTTGAATTGGGCTCTGAAAAGGAAAGTGGAATTAATAGCAGCAGTAGTAGTTGTAATAATAGTATTAATGGCTATTTATGTGTCACAGCACTGGGTTGTTCACAACTGCATGAATTCAGCATTAGTCCTGTTTTATACCTGATTAAAAAAAGAGGTCTCTTATGTCACATAGTGAAAAAATGGTTGGAGCTAAATTCTCCTCTAGTTCACATTCCTCTTTGTCCTGCCTGACTTGGGCCTTGGAAAGCCAAGCCCTTTTCAGTTTCTGACAATAGGTAAAATGTGCAAGCTTTGTAAATCAGGAATTTATCCTGCAGAAAGATAAATAAACAAGGGTGCTCACTGCATATCTGCTTATAATAAGAAATTGGGAATACTCAAATATTCTTCAAGAGAAGATCATGGAGTTGTTTTTTTTTTTTTGGTACCGGGATTGAACCCAGTGGCATTTAACTATTGAGCCACATCCCCAGCCCTTTATATATTTTACTTAGAGACAGGGTCTTTCAGACATAATTCCTATGAGTGCATCCATGTGTGTAAATGGCCTGTTTATTATGGAAACATGATACGTATAAAGGGATGGAAAATGTTTCATAAAATAATAGTCAAGACCTATTAGCAGTGGTTTTCAATGGGAAGAGAAAATGGGCATGTAGTTGGCAGAGAGAGCTTCCAAGCCTTGGCAATAGAACAGACCTGCTTTTAATCTAACCCTGTTTCTTTCAAAATTGTTCCATTTCAAACATCCCCTTCAAGAGAACTAAGCACAAAAACAAAAACACTAGTTCCACCTCTTCCTTATGCTGGTCTTTTCTCACTTTTCCCAGCAAGAAGAAAAACCTGTGTATTTATCCTAAGACTTTTACTTTCCCTTTTCCTGACCCTGGATAAAATGATAATTTAGACCAAAAGTAGGCATACCACCCACTCCTTCCTGGCATGAAGTGAGTATGTCATTTTTTCTCTGGACCAGAGGTCTTACAGGACTTACAGTCCTATAAAGAGGGAAGTTTTGCCAGGCATGATGGCACATGCCTGTAATCCTGGTGATTTTCGAGGCTAAGGCAGGAGAATTGAGCATTCCAGTCTAGCTTTAGCTAATTAGCAAGGTCCTAGGCAATTTAGTGATACCCTGACTCAAAAAATAAAATGGGCTGGGGATGTGGCTCATTGGTGAAGTGCCTCTGGGTTCAATCACTAGTCCAAAAACAAACAAACGAGGGGGAAAAATGAGTGAAGTTTTCTCTTTGCCCTGTATGACACAGCCTTGTCAACTAGAATCTATCACGCTGGAAGAAAGTTCTTTTGATCTCCTTAGGTCAAGAAGCAGCATTGAAATGGCTCTGCCTAGCAAGATATTCTGCCTTCAAAAA